TTCGGGGTGCGACCAGAGTCACGGAACGAATTAAGTTCGTAAACCGAGGTTCCACTGTACAGGATAAAAATCAGAACATACCCCCATTAGACTAACAGCTAATCTAACACCAGAAACTACCATCACTTGCTAAAGAAAACATTCCATTGTCCCAGGAAAACAATATTGCAGCTTCCAAATCCCCAAGGCCTGATAGAATAATTTATTTTTAATGGCCTTCCTCAAAGGGAGGAAAGGAGCCGTAGGGTTTTTTGGGGTGGGGTGGGGTGGGGGGAAGAGATTCTGTTCTTGTAATGGTATGTGGAAATGATCCTGGGAGACAGGAGGAAGAGCAACAGTCAGATAAGAGGAAGCTGAGCCCACAGAAGGAATGGGGGTGTGGCAAATGTCTCAGAATAGTTTCTTGGGATGTACAGGTACTCCTCACTTAACAACCACAATAGGGACTGAAAAAATTGTCGTTAAGCAGGGCAGTCATTGAGGGAGCCACCACGTGACTGGCCCAATTTTATGACCATTTTTCCGATGGTTGTTAAGCGAATCACCATGTCATTAAGTGAATCACATGGTCATTAAGCGAATCCAACTTCCCCAATGGACATTTTTGCTGGAATTCGCTTAATGACTACATTATTCACTTACCATCGTAAAAAAAAAAAATCACAAAATGCAATCACGTGACCGTGGGGGGGTGCAATGGTTTGCAACAGTCATAAGTGCAAGTACAGGTTGTAAAGTACTTTTTCCAAATCCATTGTCACTTCGAACCATCATTAAATGAATGGTCATTAAACGAGGACTACCTGTAAAGGCAAGGGGGGAGAGATGTACTATACTTTCAGACTTGCAAGATTCTATTAATGTAACCTTACAATAAAAATAGAGCTAGTAATTCTCAGTGTGCTTCTTGTCTGGACTACCTTGCAAGGCTGACAGTTCTACAGGGGGCAGTGACTGAGACTTGCTTTTGCGACCCCTGAAGATGACATTCCCTGAGCAAAAAGAGACAAAGAGAATCTCTTATAACACATCTTATTGGACAGGCAGATCTTATTAGGGATTAGAAGGACCTGCAGATCTCCAGATCCTGAGACATGAAGGGCTTTAGAAATGACAGCCAGCCTCTTGAATTGCACCTGGAAACCAGCTGGCAACCAGGGAGCTCTTGCAGTGTTACACAGGCAAACCAAGATGCACTGCCATCAAGCCACTGCATTGTGAAGCAGCTGTTATGTTGTCA